AATTATTATTTGACTTTCATATTGTGCAAACAGCTTGTGGTTGATTTTATGACAATAAGGTTTTACCATGAAAGAGATTGTTATGAAATATGTTACTCAATATGGTGGTTGTAAATATTTGGGTAGTATGGATTGATCATGTTCTACAAACACTTTCTGGCAGTGAATTTGTCTTCTATATAAAGATTTTTGGCAGTGTGGAATGCTTGTGATCTAGGTATACTTTTTGCCAGTGTGTTATGTCCTATGTTTTGGCCAGTGTGCTATGTTGCACAATTTAACATAATGTTGCGGTGTATGTTGCTTACAAAGTCTTAAAATTTACAACATAATACCTTCATTATCCATTTCTTTTCAGTACCACATAAATAAAATTCAACATATGTCTAATACTAACATCTTCTAACATTATACAAAATCAAGAAAGACCAAAAAAGTCAAGCCCCTGTTTGGCCAGTGTCTTTTGGTGTAATAGATTATTTATCAAATCAGTCATACATTTTTGGGCAGTGTGAAATTCATAAATGAAAACAATCATATACATTTTTGGCAGTGTCAAATTCATACATGAAAATAGTGTGGAATTCATACATGAAAAGAGCTATACATTTTTTAGGCAGTGTGGAATTCATACATGAAAATAGTTATACATTTTTTGATAGTGTAGAATTAATACATGAAATCACTACCACATAAATCAATGGACATTACAATACAACATGAAATTAAGAAACACAATAATACATTTACACATTTCCGTAAGATATAACAACATATATCCATTCTACACAGCCACATTAAAAACTCACATATAAAAACCACACTGCCCACTACACAATTACGAGTGAACAACCACACTGCCCAAAACAATCATATTTTTTGGCAGTGCATAATGAACATTTGCTGTTTAACTAAAGGACAAAATTGGAATCACAGGTACGAAACATATAGCACTGCTATTTAGAGTATTTTAATGCTCTTAGAGTGCTATTTTGGTTTTTCTCCCAAATAAGAAAGAATTATTTGATGTTGACTTTCCAATTTTGACCCTTGATGTGATGGGTAGATTATTAGTAAAAAAGTAAGATGTGATAGCGAGAGTAAAAGTAGTTTTTCAATAGAAAGTATAAGTGTTTTGGTGAAAAAGAAAAAAAATGAAAGAGGAATGATTTTGGTAAACAGATGCAGTGCAAAGTTGGGGTGCTCTAGCTTTTTTCATAAATAGCATACCCCCTCCCTTCCATACCATTTTATTCCTTTGACTTTCCATAGTCTCAAATGTAACATTTTGGCAATTAATAATATCTATATCTGCATATAGTTTTATTCTGTACCTTGTAAAAATACGTACTATGATATTTTTAAATTTTATTTTAGAACGAACTTATTGAGAATAACTTTATACTACAATTCAGTGTTTTCTTTTTTCTGTGTTTCACGGGCAAACTTTATAATATTTATCAAAAAAGAAAACGTGAAGAAAGATATGGAGTATAATAAAACATACCCTATAGAGTAATTGAAATGCTGCTTCTAATACACAAAACCATCAGAGCTACAAACACAACTCTGTTTCTTTGTTTTGTTTTGTACATCAAAATCGTACTCCCTTTATTCACATTTTATTGATTTTTTTAAAATTCTCATGATGCATAAAAGTTAAATGAATATGAATGTAAATCATGTTTACATTCATATATTCATTTGACTTTTTATGTTTCACTTAAAGTGATAATAGTCAAGTAAATGTGAATGGTGGGAATATTAAATCAAAGAGTGAATTGGGGGCATGCTTGCATATCAGGTCTCTGTGTTGCAGGAATTCTTCAAATAAGTGTTGCTTCTCATCTTCGAAACGTCCTCGTGTGCATATCCATCAGGGGACATCTCCCAACACCCAAATCTCGATCATAAAAGCTGGAAGAGTTCATTCGTGTTTCCCGCGTCTCCAAATAAGTACCCGTCCCAAGTGTAACTTAAGACTTATCCAAGGCCATTGCATGTATATGTATGATATAATTTTGAAATGTCTTGGGCAATACTTTGAGCATCCATGGCAGCACCCAACAATCCACGTTTCGTAAACCCCACCGTGTATAGCCCCGTGCTCTCTCCCTTCCACCCATTCGGAAATGGCTTCCTCAGCAGCCCCTCTTTCTCCGAAAACGTCTCCTTTTCCTACACACATGTATGCATCCATTATCATATACCATGATCAATCCTAGATTTACATGTTCCAATTAAACATTCGAACTTGTCACCTCTTAGCCAACAAAATTCTGCTATCATGTCAAGAAACCAACCCAACCAAAAGTTTAAACGTTGTAATTGTAGACACATGAAAGGTTTTATTATTCTAACAACTAACTCTCATTGTACCTTAAGCCAAGAGGAGACGTTGCTTTTGTAACCAGTGGCAAAGATGATAGCGTCAAAAGCTTCCTCTTTACCGTTCACAAACTCCACGGTGTGCCGCTTTACTCTCCTTATCCCCGGACACACCTACGTATACAACAATTATAATGCCCCGATTAATGTCTTGTTTCGACTCCTAACAACGAAAATGAAAATTGAACATACGTAGTGGTCGTCCCGTCTTACAAAGTAGTTGCCTCTTATTTTTCGATCTCCACGAACTGGAATTTTTTTAGGGACAACCAGATAATATACACAAAGTTATAAACGTAAAAGTTAAATGCGAGGGATAGAAAAAGAGAGTATGGTATTATACCTTGATGTCTCCGCTTTTGATTTTGGACAATGTCCCGATGTCTAGGACGGGCGTCTTCCCAGAGACATTCTTCAACTCCAACGGTCCCGTCTTGGGGCGGTTAAGGCCGAACCGTGACGTGTCTCCAAGTAGGAGGCGCGAAGCGGCTAAAAGAAAGCGGTCAACAAGGCGCGTGGGGAACCACTTGAGTAACCACATGGCAAGCTCGAAAGTTGACTTTCCCAACATCTCTTGTGGTAGGACATGCACCTAATTCACCAAATTTCTGCCCTTAGAAACAATGACAATGACTACATATATGCACTACTACAATCATTTTATAAACAATATCACAAAAAAATCTAAAAGTTAAATTTCAAAAATATTAAAGCAAGAAATGATTTTTCTTTAAATAAAATGTAAGGTGGTTCATGACACACTGGTATTGAGTTGAGTTTGCACATACAATACTTTAGGGAGGTAAAAAAAAGTAAAAATAAAATCATTTTTTTCTCCACTTAAACCCTTGATTAATAAATAAAGGTATCAACCCAAATAGATTTTTTACTAATTCTAATAATGAAAATATTACGTATACAACACAATAATTTTTCGATGGGGTTCCCATGACATTGGAACCTCATGTTATGGGATGACCCGGGGGCGTTCCGGTGCCATGTTCGTATAATTGACGATTCTTACCCCTTAACCCCTCCATAAACCCCCCACCTTGCCCCGATCCGAACACACCCCTATACCCCGCACCCCACAATTTAATTTTGACTTTGAGTCAAAATTGGACTCCAAAATCAAAATTTATTTGTGGGGTACAATTGAAGGGGTGCGGGAGTGTGTTCGGGTCGGGGCAGGGCGGGGGGTTTACCGGGGGTTAGGAGAATAGGAACCCGTGAATTTTACGAATGGGACACCGGAGAACCTCAGTCATCCCACCGGGTGATGTGATTGGAAGGGATAAATTTTAGTAGTGGAAAAAAGATACTAGTAAAGGAGGAGGAATGAAAGTGTTTCTCACTTTGTCTCTAACCACAAGAGAAGGAAAGGCATTAAATTGGGAGAGATCCAAACAGACTTCCATTCCTGAGTTCCCACACCCTACCACCAATACCTTCTTCCCCCTATACATCTCCCCACTCTTGTATCTACTCGTGTGTATCATCTCCCCCCGGAACTCCTCCGCCCCCTCCACCCTCGGTGCCACCGCCTCCGCATTCTCCCCCGTCGCCACCACCACCCACCGGCTCACGTACTCCTCCCCCGCCTCCACCTTCACCCTCCAGAACCCCCCCTCGTCGTCCCGCTCCGCGGACACCACGGTCCGGTTGAAGACCGGACGGACGCCGAACCGCTCCGCGTACAGCTCGAGGTACTCGACGAAGAGCCGCTTCGACGGGTACGTCGGGTACGAGGCGGGGAAGGGCATCATCGGGAGCTCACAGAACTGGCGCGGGAGGTGGAGGCGGAGGCGGTCGTACGTCCTCAGCTGCCACAGCGAGGCGATGCAGTTGCACCTCTCCAGCACCACGCTCGGCACGCCTCTCGCCTTCAGGCACGCCGCCGCCGCCAGCCCCGCCGGTCCGGCCCCGACGATGATCGGCCCCGGGACGTAGACCCGCCGCCTCCCGCCGCCGCCGCCCTTCGTCTCGGTAAATAGTGGATCATCATACACTCTCTTGCATTCTATCTCTCTCACGTAGCCCGTGAAACCAACCACTTCATGCATGGTTCTATAAGCTAATATTAATAAGTAATTAGAATGTGTTAATTAATAACTAAGAAGAAGAATAATAAGGATTCTAATTAGGTCAAAAGATTATATATAGAATGTTGGCCTGGCCTGGCCTTTTATATATATATATATATATATATATATATAATATATATAGGGAGCTAGTGATAAGTATTGTAGTAGTAGAAATAACGAAGTTAATTGTGATATGTATGATTAAGCTAAGAGATTAAATTAATTAGGAGAGATATAAGGGGAAAATGAGAGGGTTTTTAGGGATAAGAGCAAAATGATATCCACTATATTATATATCCAAAATGTGGGAGGGGAATGAAGAGGAGGGGAGATTTAATTTTTTGTCATAAATAATAATGGATTAGATTATTATTATTATATACGGAGTATACTATATTCACCGTAGTTTAAATAAGGGAGATTTGTTAAGCTAGGGTTTTAATAAAATGTGTGTTTTTAATGAGGAGCTCACTTGAGGGAGTGGGTATATGGGGGAGATTATATATATATACTCCCTCCCTCTCAAATTATTTGTCACATTTGCTTTTTAAGCAATCGCGAGAACTTTTGTTTATTTCTACGTTTTCATTGGTTATTTGATAAAATAAAATATTCTTGAGACCTCTTATTTCGAAAAACTTTTCAAGTAGTTTTTTCATATGTAATTTTTATTTTTTATTTCTTTACCTATATGTAAATAAAATGAATTGAAAAAACTTGATATTTTGTCTCGGTAATAGAAATGTGACAAATAATTTGGGACGGAGGGAGTATATATGTACATGCACTCCTAAAAGAACATAGGCATTTAGCGGAGGACTATTATATATTTATAGGCAAATGATGGTGAGAACCCGACGACGCTAAGGGTTAATTAGATTAGCGTCGCGGGAGTCTGGGCTCGAGGGCGCTCTTATATATAGAACCACACGACCATTATGGGCCGTGTGTTTTGCGCTATTGGAAAGCGTATTGTGGTTGTTAGAGTGTAAAACTTTAAATGAAATTACATTGCCAATTTTTAAATGTGTTTTTCTGAACACGCCAAGTTTAATGTTTTGGTTGAGCGGGTTTCCGAATAAAGTATCATGAGCTTCAAATCTCATTGATCTACACGTAAAGAGATGTGTTATACAGTATTATAAAACATGCTTCTTTAGTACTTGAATTAGTTAGCATAAATTTTCCAAAGTTGAAAAAACGGTGCGCCCTTAGACTGTATAATTTTGACATTATTTTCTAATTTGATCCTTAATTTATAAAAGGGCCTGGTAAGATATGAAGTGCATGCTGATAGATGAATCATAATTAGAAAATTATACCAAAATTACATACTTTTAAGGCTCGCTATTTTTGAACTTCAAAAAATTTTATGGAACAGAAAAAGTAATTCATTACTCCATCCGTCCTGAAATGTTCTTCCCACTTACTATTCACACAGTCAAACTTTAATCACTTTCTATACCGGTCTTATAAAGCGTTAAAGAAATAATTAGAACCTTGTTTCAAGAGTACATAATGGGTTGTTAATGCAGTAAGCAGTTCGTTCGACTCGTTCAAAGATATGTATCTTTTCATCTCACTAATAAGGAATATATAGGTCATCTATCCGGATTTAACTTTGAGAAATTTACTTAAATAGCACTAAAACATAATGACTTTCCCTAGATAGCACTACATGTGTTTTTCTTCCTAATGTAGCATTTTTAGTCATTATGCATTAGTCATTATTCAAGTAAATATTTGTCATCACATGACATTATGGACATTATTAAGTGCTATTTAGGGAGTAAAACAATTTGAGTACTATTTAGGGAAATGACTTAAGTTTTGGTACTATTTAGTGCAAATATTTCTTTAACTTTCTAGCTCTAACTTTTCCTCATGATATGTTTAAGGGAAGTTGACTATAGAGTAGATATGTCCTAAATACCTTTGCTAAAAGTAAAAATGCTTAAACATGAGAATGGAAAGATTAAATCATATCGAAACGAAAAAAAATAAGACGAGAAGATTAATTAAATTTGGACAGAATGAGTATACGAGTTTTGTGATACATACATAAGTTGAATGAATACACAACTAAGCACACATCATATCTTTTTTACTTTTTTAACATGTCAAAACAATAATGGTTGGTTAAAAATAATAATGAAAATCACTCCACTAATTAATTACTACATGCATAGACTATAGAGATGAACCGCATGCATGTATATAATTAGGCCATGATATATACATATAGGGAGTATGTAGTACATGCATGAGTCCACGCACTAGTCCGATCACACTTTCACTGCCCCCCCTAATGCCAAACAAAGTACACTTTGACAAACAACTAATAACAAAACAGATTCAATGATCACACCACATTAATTATATATTATCCAACGTAACTCTTAAGTTAATTATCAATTCCCCAATTAATTATTACTGTAATTAGGGTCACCATCAAGCCTATTAAATTTTTGGTATATAGCAAATTAATATACATAATGATAAACTAGCATATATATATATATATATATATATATATATATATATATATATATATATAGTGCTAGAGATCGGACTATGTTTGACACCAAGTTTGACATCATTATCGGTCATTATTGGTAAGATACATTGTGTCAAAGGTGTTATATGTGCCCCTAGAATTTTATTTTTGATACACTATGTATCTTCACCCTGTAGTTATCTTTCCAACTATGTATTTTCACCCTGTAGTTATCTTTCCAACTATATGCTTAGTGTCAAAAATGCTAGGAGGAACACAACAATGGTGGTACCATTTTTAGCCCAAGTATTACCGAAAGGTCTATGCGTGCAAGTTAAAGACTAGGCACGTGGAACAGACTTTTCTTGTCCGTGAGCATTTGTGCAGTGTTTGAAGTCAAAATGATGTTACCATTTTGGTCTCCCTGACCCATAACACAACTGTGCTTAGTGTACACCACTTCATGTGCCCCAAATTGTCTGCGCTGAGACTTTGCAACGGCACACTAGTGGCTTACACTGACACCAAACTCCATCAGTAAGAAATTTTATGATCGTGCTGATATTTTATGCTAGTGTGTGCAATCAGAGTGTCAGTGCAAACCTGGCATGTACTTGGTGTACAACTTGGTGCAAAGAGAGTAGTGTGCAAGTAGCTTTACTTTTTATGTTTTTGATTGGGCATCTTTTTTATATAAAAAAACTTGGCTGACAACTTTGAGAAATTACATTTGTTGATGTTTGGGGCTGTCTGGTTTACTCAGTTATGGAAATAACTGGGTAAATATCGCGACTGCAATAGTACGTTTTATCTTACGCGTAGTCACGCATAGTATCAATCAAGTGTCAACAGTAGCATGATAATAATGTTCTCTTGTACATACATCTATCACCCGTTGAGATTCTTCGAATTCAACATGCTAGCACTAGTAACTTGTTACTCAACTCTTACATGAACTCGATCGCTTAAATGAAGATAATTAATTAGCTTAATTAATCAGTCTTGCTAATTATTTACAATATGTCTTTATTTAATATTGAGAAATTAATTTCATGCACAATTGATCACATTTAAATGAACGGTATAAGTTTATCAAAATGATGAGTTGTGCCATGGACAAGTAGTAGAGATGTCACACCATGCACCACTTAAACTATAAAAAATCATTATTATATATTTCACACATACATAGTTAGATATCACCTCCAATACCATTCCACAAAGCCCTGGGGGGCGCATATCTGATTGGAGGGAAAAAATTTAGTGCTCTCACCAATCTATCTTTGGAAATTCATTAAAGTATACTACCTTCATTCCCTAAAATATTTTAATTTCGTCTAAATAGACATAAGTGTCCTTACTTTTCTTAAATATAACCGAACTGAACGTACATCAACTACCTTCTACGCTCTACTCGTTTTGAAAATTCTCGAGCCCAATTTGTTTCAATTGTCCTCGTTTTGCCTTGGTGGAAATTCTATATCTTCTCTTTCCAAAAGTCAAAACCGGAAAGATTTTCCGGGACGGGAGGAGTATATATATTCAATTCTTCCCACAAGACAAAGAAGAAGAAGAAGAAGAAGAAACAGACATGATCAAATCTAAATGGGTTTGTGTTTGTTAATAATGTATCATTTTGTCTTCCACTCACTCACCTCCCCCAACATTTCCAACCTGAATTCAATTCATCTCTCCCAATAATCAATTCTCTCTATGAATTGGAAAATAGCTGTTGGGCATAGTATAGTATAGCTAGGTTGCCTTGCGTGGCAAGGAGCTGAGTGCAAAATCAGTAATAACGTTGGTTATGAGAATTGATATAATTTGATAATAATTAATTAGTTTTATTACATAATATAATGAATGTTTGACCTCTATATGTGAGAATAAATAATTATTTTTAACTAATGTAACAATGTGAAAATAAAGTAGAAAAAGTAATACTCCCTCCGTCCCAAAAAGAATGGGACGGTTTGACTTTTTGGGAAATTAAGGGAGGGATATTTTGGTATTGACTTTCCAAAAATACTCTTGATGTGATGGGTAAAAGTAGGATGTGATGGGTAGATTATTAGAAAAATGTATGATGTGATAGGTAGGGTATGAAAAAGTAAGGGGTAAAAGTGGTTTTTTAATAGAAATGTAACAGACTTTACAAGACGCAGTTTTTTCTAAACGTAACAAACTTTTTGGGACGGAGGGAGTATATAGTAGCAATAAAATATAGAAACTAGCTAGAATGATATGGAGACTAATAATATAAAAATATTTACTAATTTCTCTATTATTTCCTTGCAAGGTGATCATCAGTAAAGAAAAATCCTTGTCTAGCTAGCACAAGTATCGAAACAGAACTGGTAAAAGTGCTTCCGTGAGAATGACGGATAGAAGAAGAGAGATATATCTCGATCTGTTACATGACGAACGAGCTTGACAACGTGTTAGCTGATCGAGTTTTTTTCCGACGAGAGATTTAGCGATTGAAGCAAGGGTGAGAAATTTCATTTTCTCCTTTTGGGCGATTATACTCTTGCAATCGGATAATCAAACTCTACACAACGGTATAATGCTCAAAATTAATTGACAAACTTTATAAATAACTTATTTTTAGATTTATCTCAGTAATTAATTAATTATCAATTAATTAATTTTGATAAGCCTATTTTCGGGATGTTAGTTACAGTTTAAGGGTAAAGCTACAATTTCTAAAGAATTCAAGGATAAATGATGCACTTTCCTCTTTCGTCTTATTTACTCCATATCAGATAAAATTATACTTCAATACCTCAATTTAATTTGATGCTCAAATACGTGTTCAGCTGATGTCAAGAAACCAATTCAGATTTGACTAGATCATGTAAAAAATAACTTAAAAGAACTTTAAAAATAATTAAAATCAAATAAAACTAGTTCTAATATGATGAGACGAAGAAAACACACTTTTACTCTCTCACTGATGGGTGCATTTTCTTTTAAAAAAATTTATTGACCATAGTATAGGAAGGGTAAATTTCACCCATGGTATACAAACTTTTATCATTATTTCATTTTGATATATAAACTTTAATTTCTATCATAAAAGTACGCGAACTTTCAACATTCTTTCACCGGTGGTCCAATAGACGGTTTCTAAGTCACCTTCAGGTCATTTAGGGTCAAATTATAATTTTATAAATTTAAATTTTATGATTTTGACCACTTTTCTTTTTTTCTTGTGTGTGTGTGTGTGTGTGTATATATCATCTGGTTAATTAATAACCAAATCAAATCAATTAATAATTAACTTTAATTAATTAATTGGTTAAACAAAATGACTTCAAAAGAACTAATTATTGCTCCCATGATCCTTAAAATGGAAGAAGTATTGAACAAGATCATCCCGCCTACAGGGCCTCCTACAGGTATACAAAATTAAACACTTTTTTTTTAAAAAAAAAGCATCGAATGTGTATAATAAGAAATACTCCCTCCGTACTATAATGATCTTCCCGGTTCGCAAAACGAAAAAAAATCCCAAGTTTTTTCAATCTATTTTATTTAAATATTGGTATAGAAATAAAAAATAAAACATACATATTTAAAAACTATACCAAAAGTTCAACAAAACAAGTGGTGACAAGAATATTTTATTTTATCATATAGGCCATGAAAAAATACAAATAAATATAAATTTCCGTGAAGTTGGAATAGTACTCTGGGAAGATCATTATAGGACGGAGGGAGTATAGTGCTTTTTTTTTTGGAATTTAGCCTTTCCTCATGATATTAGACTTTAATCCACCCACTACCCCAGCTATGAAAAATATAAAGAATGAAAAAAATGGGTGCATGGGGTGGGGGGGCCAGAAGAAGAGGGGAAGAAGAGAAAAAATGGTGTGAGTGGAGTGGGGGTGGGGCTGGAAGAGGAAGAGAAGAAAAAAATGGAGGGAGTGGGTGGGGATTCTTGAAGAAGATGAAGGGGTGGAGAACCAAAAGAAAAAAAAGAAAAAAGGTTAAAATCATAAAATTTAAATTTATAAAATTATAATTTGACCCCAAATGATCTGAAAGTGACTTAGAAACCGCCTATTGGACCACCGGAGAATGTTGAAAGTTCGTGTACTTTTGTGATAGAAATTAAAATTTATATATACCAAAGTGAAATAAATAATAATAAAAGTTCATATAGTACTAATATATTTTATACTCCGTATTCTTTAAGGTTTAAGTAAGATCTATGTTACTCCCGGCCCAATAAAATTTCTCCTCAAAATCCATTTCTGGATTCAGTTTTAATATTGGTCTGCTATGAAGTCGTCATGGGCTGAATTGGCCTAGTACCAAAACCCTTGCGTCCAAACCCTACTTTGCGAAAAGACGCTTATAAATTTCATACCGCAGCTCTGGTCTTCATCCCCGTGAACCGGTCGGCCATTATCGTCCCTTCGATCTTCTTCTTCGTCTTCTTATCATTTCACATGTTTTTTTTATTTTGGCGTCAATTTCTTCGTTTATTTATTCGTGGTTGCGATCGATGCTTCGCTATCTGGTTGGCGAAATCTTTCCCATTTCCGCCCAACTCGTTCCCTAGAAGCGAAATTCACCTGTGTTGCGCTGCCGGAGATCTCCATGTCTGTTCTTCGTTGTTTCTCCCTCGTCGGACTGCGCTAGGGCATCAACATCTGTCTCCGTCACCGGAATTCTTCATCCGCGATTTTATTCATTCGAGTTTTTCCAGATCGGTTATTTTTTGTTTTTGGAATGTTGATGATAATCGATGATGATCTATACAGACCTGTAGTGACTTTCGAGCGTGATCGCAATTCGAAATGAACATCTAAGGGACTGAGATTTCTTCCAATTTCCTTTGATCCGAAATTTATTTTTTTTGAAATGAATCGTGTTGAAATTCAATGTTTATTAACATTTGAAGCTTTGATCGACTTCGATTCGTGGTTTGTGCTCCTCCATCGAGTACATAGCCCAGATCATCAAAGCTTAGATTGAAGTTTCCCTCGCTATCCATTGCTTTTGTTGAGTATTTGGACGTCGGGAAACTAAATTCATGGATAGTTCTAATTTTTTTCGTGTAGATTGATCAACACACATTTGTTTTGTTGGCCTTCGTAATTCCAAGCCCAATTTAGCATTGGGACGTTTGTTGGGTTATTAATTAATATATCAAAGAAGTGATAAGAATATTTTTTTTTATGAAATATTTAATGAAATTGCGTAAATAAATAAAAGTTTGGATTGAAGTTTCCCTCGTTATTAAAAAATTATTTACCATTATTTTTTTTATACTTTACCTATTACATCATACTTTTTTTCTAATAATAAATCTATTATATCTTATTTTTATCCATCACATTAAGGGTAAATTTAGAAATCAACTATAATTTTATACTTTCTTATTTTGCCTTTAGTAAAACAGAAGTACTTTTCTCTCATTATATTTGTCCACTCTCATTTTTTGCACACCATCCAATACACTTTTTTAATTCATTTTATCTTGTAATTTGTATATTAAAAAATTATAGAAATTATATATTAATAGTCTATATGTTAAGACAAATCAAACAAGATCACGCATGACTATGTTTAGACTTATTCATATGACTATGTTTAGACTTATTCATTGAGAGAATTTGATGAGTCAAAGTGCTTAGATGAACAGTTTTAAAAGTCAAAAGTGGACGAATATAGTGGGACGAAGGGAGTAAAAGAAATTGAAAGTTGTGTTCAGTAAACATTAGTGGTTTAAATTTAAAATTATTTCTAATTTGATTTGACTTGTCCTTTAAAATTGTTTCTAATTTGATTGTAGTTGTATTTAAATTAATTTGATTTGATTTTAATAAAAATAAGTAATAAGAAAAGAATAAGTTGAAAAAAAGAAGCTCTAAAAGTATTGACAAATATTTGACATTAAAAAAATTAATTTTGAAGTTTCCTGATTCGTAGTACCCCCTCTGTCCGGAAAAAATATTCTCATTTAGACTTTTTCTCATTTTTTTTGAATGGTTGACTTTAGGAGAGAAATATCCAATAAACCCTTAATTTATTTCTTGTTTTACAACCCCAACTCTGCCCTCTCCTTCCCTGATCTCGTTCAATGGAAGGTGAATTGGTGATTACGATTATTGGACCATGCAATTGATTGTGATAAATTTGGAATTTGATTTTGAAAACATTGAATTGAATTTAATTAATGTGTTGGTTCCTCTAGCCGGTCTCTGCTCTTTGATCTTCTCTGACTCCGCATTCTTTTTCTCTCTCGTTCTTTCCGGCAAGGAGGTGATGCCGCCGGTACTGTGCGCCAGGAAGATGGCACCCGCAGATCTATTATAGATCTACCGTAGATCTGAGAGTGAGGGAAGAGAAGAATTTCGTAGTACTCACCGCCGCCAGCCCCAACACCGCCGCCACCCTTGTAAGCACCGCCACCAGCCCCAACACCACAATTGATAGTCCCACCACCGCCACAATTGCCATCGTTACACGTAGGACAAAGAGAAAAGGAAAGAGAAGAACGGAGGAGGAGAAGATATAGCTATAGATCTGCCAGATCTAGGAGGAGAAAGGGAAAGAAAGAGGAAGAGGAGTGTGGGAAGAGAAGTCGAAGAAGAAGGGAATTAGGGAAGAAAGAAGTGTAGATCGGGAAGAAAAGAAGGATGAGAGAGAAGAGTGAGAGGAGAGAGGGAGAGAGAAGAAGATAAAGGAGAGATGGGGGCGATGGGGAAAAAAGAGGAGGGAGAAAGAAGAAAAAAGAAAGAGTGAGATTTGATGGAAGGGGTATTTTTGGAAGATTATTTTCGGACGGAGAAAAAGGAGAAACGGGAAGATTATTTCCGGATGGAGGGAAAAAATTTAGCTCATTAATCACAAAAAAGTAAGACTTAATTTAAGTTATCGCTTTTGCTTTATGATTTTTTATTTAACCTATTTTCAATTCAATTTATATGAAATTAAAATTTACATGTTTAAAAGCTATATATAAAGTTTTATAAACCAAAATAGAACATAATTATATTAATCTATCAATTTAACAAAAAAAAGAGTATGAAAGTGTTAAAATTTAACAATGTAAAATGTGAATAGTGAATAAACAAGTTAAATTGGATGAATGAAGTATGCATAAATGATACAAACAGTATTCCGTTTTTGACTCCTCAACGCCAAATAACAGTTACTGACATAAGCTCGTTGCTGGCATATTATTATTACTATTATCAGATGATTATAAATAGAGTCACATTGAGATGATGAAAAAAAGATTGCTAAAGTGAATATAGCAATCGAAAAGTTAATTTAAAGTCGGGTGAATTAATAAATAAATTTAAAGAATTTTTCTTATTCCTTGGGTGCAAAGAAGCTCACTTCCAAAATTTGTAGAGAAATTCATTTAGAATTTGAGTCGTAGCGAAATATAAATGTTGACTTTTTGTACACCATTACGTTAAAAAAATGGTTAACACATTAAACATATAAATACAGCGCAAATAACACAAATATTTTTATTTCAAATAAACTTTTTAAGGTAGCATTTGGAAATGAGAATTGATTATCAATTAAATAAAATTGATATTAAAAATTGATATAAATTTATTTTATTAGATTTATTTTGTAATGTGTTTTCACAATATTATTTTATTTACTTAATACAAAGTACTTTCTTCGTCCACAAATAAACTTTACATTACGCGTTACGATGTTTGACTGAAGTTATTTTCAAATCAATTTATATGAAAAATGGTGTAGAATTGAAAAATAAAAATTACATATTAAAAAACTATATCAGAAGATCTACAAAACTAGAGATGACATGACTATATTATTTTATCAAATGAGTGACGAAAATAAGCCAACAAAGTGAATAAAGTTTGACCCTGTGAATAGTGAACGTAAAGTTTATATGTGGACGGGGGAGTATATGATATAGACCCAATAAATGATAGAGACAAAACTTTAGTTTTGACTCATATATATACCAAATAACACTTACTGAGATAAGCTCGTTAATGACATGTTATTATTATTGTTGTTATTAAATATTACTCCGTATTGCGTAATAAGCAGAGTCACATCAAGATAATGAGAAATGATTGTTAGAGAAAATAGTAATCGAAAAGATAATTTATAGACGAATGTATTAAAAAAAATAAATTCAAAGATGTTTTCTCATGCATTAGGTACAAAGAAGCTCACTCTCAAAATTTGTAGGAAAGTTCATTTAGAATATGAGTCGAGAAAGAAATGTTGACTTTTGTGTGTTATTACTCTTTGATACTCTCTCCATCCCCAATTTGATTACAAATTAGGACTTATGAGGAGAAATATTTCACTTTTTGAAATTATTTTAGTACAAATTGTTATATTAATAAGAAATAAAAATTATATATTAAAAAACTACATTAAAAGTTTTTACAAAACAAAAAGTAACAAATATATTTTGTTTTATCAAATACTTGATAAAATCGAGTAAATAAACAAAATTATCAAGAGTAGACAAAAAAATTGTAATTAAAATGAAACGGAAGGAGTAAGTAATAACACCTTAAATGAGGAGCAATATAAACAAATACTCCCTCCGTCCTATATCTTTCTTCCCGTTGTACAAAACGAAGAAAAATTCCAAATTTTTTCAATCTATTTTTCTTTAAATATTGGTATAGAAATAAAAAATAAAACATACATATTTACAAACTACATCAAAAGTTCAACAAAACAAGTGGTGACAAGAATATTTTATTTTATCATACAGGCCATGAAAAAACACAAATAAATATAAATTCTTGTGAATTTGGAATAGTGCTCTGGGAAGAAAGTTTTAAAATGGAGGGAGTATTATTATTTCTAATTAAAGTTTTTAAGTTAAATTTCACTTTATTTTATGAGGGAGTAGTAGTTTTTGAGATTTGTTCGAACAGATCTGAGTATGTGATCACGTGATACTTGATCTCCATAGCTGAATCAAAAAGCTCATCATCAACTCGCTCGCGGCACGCCATAAGATCCATTTCAATTCTAATACTCGAACAGAGGAGGAAGAAGAAGACGAAGAAGAAGAAGGACACTGTTCACACTTAGACATGGCTCCTCCAGCTCATCATACTCAACGATCGCCATCCCCTTCTCAACCGTCTGGGTACAATCAATTTTTCATCAACATCTCTGTGTGACTCCGTGTTGTTTGTGTAGATGCATTTGTATATACTTGTTTTTTTTTTGGTTAGAATGAGAAATACATATTTGTCGGATTGGATTGTTCTTTTGTTCTATGCACGAAGTTGTTGGGTCAGACCACTCTGTTGAACTGATCCGTGCGAGGATCAGTGATTTTTTGTGTTGTTATGATCATGGGGTATGCGTTTGGTCTTAATTGGACTGAGAAACTTTTGAGTTTCTTCCAGGCATTGGTTCTATCAAATAATGGACTGAATCAAAATGGCACATTGAATTCCCTTTCTTGTTACTTCTATAAGGTTTTGGGAAGTAAATGCATCAAAGCTTTAATAGTCGAATGAAGACAACCTCTCTGTTTAAGACTGGGTTGTTGTTGTTGTTGTGTAGGCATTGGTTACGTGTTTCATTTCTAGCGGTTGGATGCAAAGTAGTGATATTGATAAAAGGAAACTATGTAAATAAGCTGGGCAAAGTTTCATTTGATCAATATTTCCCATTTTGATCAATTGGCTTAAGTGTGAGTTTTAATTTGGTTAACACTCAACAGTACTTTGCATTTCTATATAAATTTAATGCT